CACACACACACACACACACACACAGTCACACACACAGTCACACACACACACACATCTTCTCACACATTTATTCATGATCAATTTATTCTTTAGTACTCTCTTCATTTAGAAACAAAAAGGGGTGTGATCAAAATTTATTTACCTTTTAAAATAAAATTATTAATATATTTTTGTTTATTTTTGTTTAGCAGAGAATAGTCCAGTCCCAAGCCCAGGAAAACCAGAGGGTTCAGAGCCAGGAACTAAGGTAAATTTTGATTATTCAATAAAATGGCTAGAATTTCAAAATATTAAAGTACAAATTTGTATTTGAAATGGCACAATCTCAAGTACAATTTGGAATTGCTTACTATCAATCACATGACTTTTTGGAGTTGACTGGGGGGCAACTAGCGGATGCTAAGTCAAAACATATCAAAATAAGTCCTCAAACTATTGCATTTGACTATTTTCGCGACATCAAACCAGAAAACAAGAGATCAAAACAACCTCCAGGATTCTATAAGCCATCAAAAAAGAACTATTACCGGAAGTGACATCTATTGATAGCAACCTATTTATAGGTACAAGTGATGTTTTGAAAATTTTCAAATTTGGACCAGCCTTTAAGGCAAAGTCCAATGAGCCTGAAGTGAGATGACGTTTTACCACCGTCTCTAGACCATAATCCTTTTCACATTGCTTTTGTTCTTTAATTATGACTATTGTTCCTTTATTCTCTAAGGAATCAAAAATTTTAATATGAAAGAATTTAAAAATCTATTATGGTATAGAGTCGGGGATAAAACGTCATCTCGCTTCAGGCTTATTTGAGAACTATCAAAACATCACAAGTATCTATAAATTCTGAATTCTATATAACCATTTTGCGATTTTTTCTTTATAATATACTCAACAAAATTGAGGAAATTAATTGGGACTCTACAGAGTACAATTTGGGATTTAATTGCACCACCCTTGTCCAATCAGAATCGAGTAAATTTGTTGAGTTTATTATAAGGCATGTAGTTCAATCTTAATGCAAAGTATTTACTATATTTCTTTTTCTTTCTTTTTTTTTGCATTTTGAGAAAGGATTTACAGTGACTTATGAGTTACAGTATTTTAATTTTTCTTCCAGTGGCTTTAGTATAGTATCTTATTGACAATTCAAAGTTTCAATTGTTCACTAGCCATCTTTTTCTTTATCTTTGAAGACTACTTTCTCTAAAGGAAGGAAGAGAAAGAAGCCATACAAAGACACCAATGCACCCAAAGCACCTTTAACAGGATATGTGAGGTTCCTGAATGAACATAGAGAGAAGGCTAGGAATGAGAACCCAGACTTGCCTTTCCATGAAGTCACTAAGATCTTGGGCAACATGTGGACTCAGTTACCAGCTGTACAAAAACAGGTGATTCAAATTCTCTAAAAATGCCTCACAAACGTTATCAATGGACAAACAAACACGTCATGGAAGAAAGATTAATTTTATTGAAATATTTCCTTTGAATTACAGTGTTTAAAGTGCCTATAAACCCTAACTCAATGTTTTCAGCATTGATTCTACATGAAGTTAAAAGTTAAATAGTAAAATATTTTTATGTGATTTGAGTGTTGCATCTTGAAGATATCAAGGTTTATACTTCCAGTATGCTAATGAGTGTGATGTCATGTATCTCCAAGATGTATCACTCAAACCATATAAAAATATTGTACTATTTAACTTTTAACTTCATTTAGAATCAATGCTGAAAACTTTGAGTTAGGGGTCATAGGCACTTTAAGAGATCTTCGTACATCGCCTTATAAATCATATAACACACAGAGCTTGGGATACCTGTGATCAATACAATACAGATATAAAAGATTACTTTAGTTAAAGAATCCTAGTCAACTACACTGCATTGCGTGCCAGAATCAAAACAACCGGCCATTTTCTCTGCCAGGCAAAATTGCCGTTTTGTAGGTGAAGTTTGAAAATCCAGTTCCATCGGTCTCGTTATTTCTGCTAGACGTTTTAAGATAATCATAAAGTAATGATACATGTACATAGTCATTTTATGCTCTCCATGATATTTTTTAAATTTTGGCAATGAATCTGAGGTAGATTTCAACCATTATGATGCCTAACTGTTGGACGACTGAAAAGTCATTATGTCTCAAAGAGAATCTCTCTGAAAAATTCAACCCACTTGTACTTGTTGTGGAACGAAAGAAAGAAAACCTTGTGTGTTTGAAGACCTTGGCATAGCGAATTTGCACTTCTGCTCCACCAGTGAATGGAAGAGCTTTAAGAATGATGTAGGCGAATGATGTAAACAATGATATAGGGGCGCAGTGCATCGTAGTTGACTAGGAATACTACCATGTGATTTGCTGTTCAACCAAAGCTTGGTCTGTGAGCCAGAATGCTCTTAGATCAGGATCCCATTAATCGAGGCATCTTTATTCATGCTAGTTCTGTAAGCCAGCCCATTAGTAATGACATTAAAAGCATCTTTGTACGATGTGTAGGTCTAATTATGTTTTCAATATCATTTTGTTATTCAGCTGTATCTTGAAGAGGCAGAAAAAGACAAGGAAAGATACATGAAGGAATTAGAAGAATATCAGCAAACGGATGCGTACAAAACATTCATGACTAAGCAGAAGGCATTGAGAAAAGGTATGATTTATGAGTTCCTCCATATGTTGGAGTATTTGGGACTCTGTCAATAGTTTTAACTTTTAGCTTATTTTCATATTTTTTTATTTTCACATTCACGTTCTTACGAGACTTTATTGTAAGCTCGTGTGTGTCTACTTGAATAAATAAATTACTTATTTACTTACTTGCTTGAACTCTACACATCTTACACTCTTGCAAGTTCTCTCTTATCTCTCGATCTCCCGCTCTTGGCCCAGGCTCACGGGTGAACAGGTGACAGGTGACAAGCCTACGCTTGGGGGGAGGGCATGGATATTTTCTTGAACCACACAATAATTATGTATTTGTTTTGCAGATAGTGATAGTGTGAATGGAACCACAGAAACCCAGGTCAGTAATTATGGAGTTTTTAGCCATTTAGTGACTGAAGAAAAAACTGGTTCAAGTGTTCAGTGCATTGCGGGATTGTTTTAGGGGACAGAATTGATGCCGTCTTGGAAATATCTGCTCTAAAACACTCGCACAATGCACTGTAATACCAAAGTGTTGCAGTTTTTCTCAATCTGGCTAATTGCCTTGGGGCAAAGATATATGATGTGTATGTTGATAGCGTTAGAACACCAGCTTTTCAGTAATCAGATCCCAGAACAAAAAATAAAACAAAAAAGACTACGAAAAATTACTAGGTTCCTTTGTCCTATTCTTAGGCCATGTTAAACACCATATCTTCTTTTTCCTTGATAAAAATCGAGGACCACTTACAGTATACAGCTAACCAATCAAAATGTAGAATGAAAACAATACATTCCAACGTTGGATAGTTGAGCCAATCAGAAACCTAGACTGCACGAGAATGGTAATTTGATCCTGATGTTACATGTAATTTATTGATTTCATTCTACAATTTGATTGGTTCTCTCGTTTTAGGTGGCCCCAGTTATTGTAGTTTTTTCTTTTTCCTCTTCATTTATATTAGACTGTTCAACTTGCTCGTTTGCTCTTGACCTACCACAAGTCAAGCACTCTTATTTTTTCTTACTAACAAAAATGAGTGAACACAATATTTTGATATGATAAATTTAAATCCAAGCAAAATATCATTATTTTTTCTAACTTTTTTCAAGCTTTTCTTACTGCTATTTAGTGGAACAGATAAGCAAAACAAATAAATAATTTGCTGAAAACCCAGTACTTTCCTACCGAAATCTGAGAAGGATGTCCAAACTTTTTGGTGGCCGTGACACAATCCAGTACAATTTATACCACATGATGTCTAGCGCTGAAGTAGTAAATTGTACTAAACGAGTTGATATTATGAATTTCAGACTGGCAGTGAAGATCCTGATAATCTACTTTGTAAGCCATGCAATATGTTCTTCAACTCACCTCACAACAAGCGTGAACACTTGATGGGGAAAAAACACAATATGATGTTGATGGGGAAAACTGAAGGGACGGACAAAACAGAAATAAAGGTACATGAGAGATGAGGTGGTAAGCTGTGTGGGATGGGATCCGAAATCGTATAAGAACATGCAAAATAGGTAAATTACTAGCCTTGTATGAAACGACTGAAGAAGAGTGCCAATGGGCCTTTCACAACTCGCATAGAAAATGATCCAGCTTAACTAGAAACCGTGGACAGCTGTTTCGGCCTGTATTGGGCCTTGTCAGCACGGTGTATCTAGTGAGCTGGTAATAATAATAATAATGATAATAATAATAATAATAATAACTTTATTCTTATATAGCGCCATTTCCATTTCTGTCCAATGGTGCTTTACAAATTACAATTAAACACTAAAAATATGCGGTAAAATAGTTAAGAATTATATGAAGATGTTAAAATATATACGGTACATTCAAAAAAAAATTTTTTTCCTAGTTAGACCCAGCCTTTACACCGAGCCCCACATGTGCCAAATCCAACGCAAACGAGCAAAAATTGGAGTTCATTTGCATTAGATCCGGCACATGCGGAACACTGTGTCCAGGCCAGGCCTTAATAACATGATATTAAAATGTAATTTATGCTAATTGATATTAAAAGAAATAAATAAGCTACTAATGGATATAAATAATTTGCTAATTTAAATAATAGAATTGAAGGTACAGTAATTATGCCCCAGTAATGCCCAGGTTGCTTTTCTTTGCTGTATAGCATTTTGAATGATTTGTAAACAACATGATTACTGTAGCATGCTGGCATGCGATATTGAATATCAGTATAGCATCATTATTAATTGTTAATAAGAGTTAATTGTTAATTAAAAAGAAAAACCTTTTGAAAGTAACTGGAAGACTTATGCTACATTTGTCCCTTTTAAAAATACTACAATGCATATGAACTGGTTGAAATAAATGTGAACAAGTCCATAGTTAAGGTGGCTGCCTACTTTTGAACGTTCGATTTGAGCCCACGATGTGCGCGCGCTCAAAAACCGCTGAAAAATCTACAAGTTTTTATTGAAGAACCATACGCGTTTTGAGCTTCAACAGGGCAAAACCCTCAAATTTTGCACGGGACTCTATATTTTTTGATAGCTCTTTCGAAAAAACTCCTAAAAATCAAGGTTATATCAACATTTTAGGAAAAGTTTAAATCAGGAACACGTGAAAAAATAGATTTTTGTAGGGATTTTTGTTCGACTT